TGCTATACAGAATATGGAACATTCCTTTCCTAAAAAGCTTTTTGTGATGGATGACAGAGAGGATGGCTCTGGTTTCCATGGCAATGCTTTTAAATTTGACTATGCCACCTAGGAAATGTAGGACTTCCAGCTGGCTGGTGTTTGAAGCTCTTTCAGAAGGAACAGGGAGTGAGGTCGTGCCGTGCTGGTTCTCATCTGCTGTTGGCCAGTGCTGCTTCTTCCACTGGGTTCTGGAGAACAGGGGAAGGGAACATTCCCCTGGGGCCAAAAATGGTGTCTGCCATGTGAACTCTGCAGCTGGAATCGTGGACATGCACTTAATTATTCAGCCCCAGATGCAGCTGTAAATCCACACAATGGCTAGGTCTGTGCCATCCTCTGCCTCGCATCTCTGACCATCTGTTGGTGAAAGGGTAATTAAACCAAAACAGTTCTTACTGCAATTGAACCCTAGGAGCAGAGAGAACTGAGCCTGACATAAACATCCTTCTCCCAGTAGGAAGTTAGAATTGGGGCTGTATTTTTCACTTATTTAAAATATGAGAACATTTGACTCGGTGCTGCTCGTTTATCTGCTTCTCCCACGTGTGCTCGCCCTCTCTTCCCTCTTCCTTCCCTCCCCTCCCCCCCAACCATGTTTTTTCTGGACACAGGTGTGTGAGTCTATTCAGTGGAAATCACAATGCAACATTATGCCTGCAACTTAATTTCCAGAGGTCAGTTCCCCCGACACTTGTGACTTTTCCATATGAAGCTTCCTGCAAATACACTGCAGCATGGTGTGAGCTAGAGGTGAAAACACTGGCAGAGCCCACTGTGTCTTTGATCCATTCCCAGCTCTGCCACTGACTTGTTTTGCAGTTTTTTGTGCAAGCTTCCTGTGCCTCAGTTTCTCCACCTGTGAAATGGATCTAGCTTTTGCTCACCTGGATGTTGGGTGGATATTGTGAACACAGATCCATTAATGTTCAGGCAGTCAGAAAGGAAATGCTGTTGAAGAGAAACATGTTCTAAATTGTAAGATACTAAAGATGCTGATCTGAGGTAAGGATAAAACACTTGATCCATTGCCAGAAAGGAAATGCATCATTAATAGGGCTGAGCTTTTAATAGCACGGGTTGGGAGAAATTGTAATTTCTTCTTTCCCAGCAACTGCTGCTGCTGTATCCCATGTGCCTATCTAGGATATGTTACCTGGGGGCCAGAGCTTCAGAGTGGACCAGTCCAGCCAACAGCAACCGAAGACATTGTAACTGCTTGTAACTTTGCAGGATAGCTGTCATGGATGAGAAAGAGTTGCTTCTAAGGGCACCTTAGGAGGGAAGGACTTGGTCTTTTGCTGAGACCCTTCAAGGGAGACAGTTTTTTAGTGTTTCTGCAACTGCATTTTGGACGGATTTGGAGGGAAATAATGATTCCAGATTTATTGGTTGTCTTCAGGCCAGTGTGCAGTGTTGGGAACAGAAATGGGTAGCTGTTACTCCCTTTTGCCAGCAGAGGTAGGCTGGCAGAGGTGGGGGATATCGTGTCACCCCATTGTGCTTAGTAGGGTGCTGCCTACCTGAGCCAGGGGGTAGGGAAATAGGTTTTAACATCTGGTTGATTTTTATGTTGATAGCAAAAATGGGTTATCAGTAAATTACTCATGGGAGACTCAGGCCTTCTTCACACACAGCTTCTGAAGTCCGTTTAGCTTAATCAGTAAAACTGTTGTATGGATAATTAGCACGTCTCTTGTGCAGGCATCCTTAGTTCAATTTTGAGTGCTTTGATATCAGTTCATTATGGGGTGCCCTCTAGCTGAATTGGGAGTGCCCATGTAGGAGGGTTACACTGATTTACCTATGTCGATTTCCAAACCAGATTGGGTGGATTAAAACACCATGGGTGTAGGCGAGACCATGTTGGGGGGAGCTGCTCCATTTCATTAGGTATTGAATGGAGTGCAACATTGACCAGAGCTGTGGTGCCCCGGGATGAGTCTCCTATTCTGTGGCATTGACAACCCCTGCAACAGTGTAATGGTCCTTTGGGTCCCTGATATCATTATGGGGTGAGTGACATCTTGGGCTGTGGGTTTCAACAGGGCAGCTGGTATGGATTGCTGGGGATTAGATCATGTTTATTGAATACCTTTTATGGGGGCTGAGAACACTGGCCAAAATGTAACTGTTCTTGCTTTTTGTGCTTCAGTGCTTCATTTTGGATTCCAGATCCCAAGAAGGCATTTTATAGGTTACTCTTTCTCCCTCCCATATTTGCCCCCAGAATACAAGAGCTGGCAGAGCCCTGGGGAAGGAGGTTCCTGCTTAATGGCTTGTTTAAAAGCTTGTGCAGTCACTTTCTTGCTGCTCTCCAAGCTGCTTGCTTGCTGTAGCTCTTGCCTTGCTGCTCACAGAGTGTGAGGAGTTAGGGCACTGCCCTAACACCCCCCTTGGGTTTTGCTAGCATTTACTTAGGACATGACCTTGTGTCAACACTTGATTGTGCTTGTGCTGTCAGTGCCCCAAGTCCAGTCGTCTGGAAGTGCTGACCACTCATCTGACCCCTGTGAGCTATTTCCTAAGAACATGTGAAATGCTAATGCATCTCCCCTTAAAGACGTGCAACAAAGCTGCTAAATGTCCTTGCTTTATTGCTGCTGCTTCTGCCTCAGGATGCTTCCTTAACTCTGCCTATAGAGCAGAACTGTAGGAGCACAGATACCAGGAGGTTTTGTTTGGGGAAGGGATAAAAAAACAGGGGACACAAATATGTAGTGTGTGTTTGGGGGAGGGAATATATGTAAACCAGAGACTTGCTGTCAGACCACCTTGGAGGTCTGTAGGGATCACAGCACAAGTTCAAGTAGGCTTGTGCTGCTCTCATATTTGCCTTCAACCAACATGTTGTACAGTAGGAAGTGACCCAGATGATTTGGTAGATGACACTTCTGTCTGAGCAACTCTTTGGGCAATATTAGCTGGAGTCCTTAGAGAGCGAGGCAATTAGTTGCATTAGTCTAAGTCAGGCAGAAGGCAGGGTAGATGTACATCTTGTGGACTAATTAAATTGGAGATGAATCAGCATCTGATTAAGTGACTGTTGCTCATGAAAGCTTATACACCTCTGATTCAGTTTATCCATAAAGTGCATGTCTACCTTGCCTGGAGCTGTTAAAGAGCCTTTAGTACTTCTTAAAATTAGGGTGCTAGTGCTGCATGTCTGACTACATCCTAGCTTGGATATTTTCTGCATCACTTATATTCACCCTACCTTTTAGTTGGATATCAGGTTCTTTGCCTCTCATCCTAACCTGTTGTATAGTGGTGCTGTGAGCTGCTGTTCAGCTGGAGCTACATTTCTGTAATGTATGGATGCAGTGACTTCTGAGCACAATTGAAGTTTATAAAGTGATTCAGGATGTAAAGTGCTGTTGAAACCAAAACCACAGTAAGTAACAGGATAGGTGTCCAGGGAACTGGAGTGTGGCTGAGCTGAAGAAACAATCATCTTTGTTTTGGAGAGCAGCTCTTAGTAGCGGCCAGGCTTTGCCAGGCATCCTGGCTGTTTGATGTTAGGCTGCCCCAGGAACAGCTCTTTAATGAAAGACTGCCTGAGGAGGAACCTGGATTGTGGTGAAATAGGGCATGGTTATGAATGTCAGATACCCTATGGTGCCTGTTATATTAGCCTTCCTGACTGCCTTGCTGGATCAAAAGAGGTTTTTAGAAAAGGAGACGGGAAGCTAAAGCAAGGGGCAGCCCCTCATGCATGGTAGCCAGGTTTATAGTTGTGAGGAAGCTTTAACTCCAAAGTCATGGCTATTCTGCCAAGGCTGGGAAGAGGGAAAGAAACTGAGCTGTCATGAGCTTTACAATGTCCCAGAAGTTGTTGGCTGTGCTAGGCTGGCACTTGGTGGCTGAGAAGCCAGGGTCTGCGCATCCCTTTTGGGAGAGGGAAGGGTTATAAGTTTGAAAGACGTCTCCCCCAGTACTCTGTGTAAAGGGAATGAATTGCTGTTACCTCAGAGTCCTCTGTCCCTCCACATGTCTGGAGGGAGGGGTTTTTTGCTGCTG